CGTTCGAGGGGGAATACAATTGTGCTAGATGTGAGCGAGTTGTCTGTTTGGAATCCCAGATTCTGGATCTAAGCAACAAACTGGCAACACTGAGGAGCATAAAAACTATGTGCATGCGCGGCCATCTTGGTGATGGGCGCTGACAGAGAGGAGTGGACGATCACCCGGCGGAATAAGTCATGCTGCCGTGTCCCCTCCTCTCTCTTGCAACTGTCGGACTCTCGGTCCATGATCGAGTGCCCGATTTTTCAGAGGCTGTCAGTCATTTTGTTGTCACACCTCCAATGGTGTCACCTGCGTGCGAGGCGCACCCCATGTATCCACCTTGTGACGCCACTGGGTAGGGGTTGGCTTTAAGGTGCAGTGGTTGGGTGGTTTCAGGTATGCTGGTGGGAAGGGGGGTGCTGGCAAAAGGGATGGTGAGGGGGTTGTTGCAGGCACATTGGTAAGAACTGCCTCCACTGAGGAGATGACGGCTGTAGCTTCACATGATGGCCGCAGTCCTTGTGACCAACAGCATTGGTCTGGAGGCAGGCAGGTTCAAGGTATCTGTTGCCAGGGCAGAGATTACAGTGCCTGTGTAAGTCACAGCAGAAGCTGGGGGTAGGTAGGGTGAGCTGATGGGACCAGAAATTATAAACTTATTTTCCATTACACTCACACGCCTACTTGAGCGGGTGCTCTGGATGTGCTTCCCAGTAGATGTGGCTGTGGTGGATGGTGCTTGTCTACATTTACATATCCGTGTTACTGCACAGGTGTGCAAGTGCCTTTGGGATAAGTGAAAATGTTGCTTATACCCGGTGCATGCATGGTAACAACACAATGGTATAAGTGCTACACTACCCCTAAAGCAGACCTGGCATTTAATGACTGTGCTGCTGAATGCCTCTAACGTCCTGCGCTCTCTGCAGATATTGGCAATCACCTACCAGCACAAGAAGTCTTTCATGACTAATAACCTTTTTGTGATTTGATGACGTCACATGATTTACTGAAGAGAGACGCAAAAAAAGTAATTAGTTACAGCATAGTTTGTGTCAGGAGTGAGAGAGCCAATCTCTCCAAAGCAAGGGCATATCACTTGCATATATTATTCAGAAAAATAGGTTCTCCCCTTGAAAAATGTCCTGTTCCTGTGACAGTTTTAAAATGTTGAATTACTCATCACTTTCTGCAACAATGGTGTACAGGAAAAAGAGGGTGATGCTCCCCAGCAGGGAAACACTTAGCAATAAAAGCCTAAGGGTTTTAACATTTCCTGACTCTATCCAGAACATGTACTGTTCAGCAATATTGAAACAAGTTGGCCTTGATGGCATTCTAATGTATTTTTTAAGCTTTAACTATTTTTTAAGCCTTTTTATTGCATTGTTCTGTTAAGTCTAGACACTCTATAAATAAAAACAAACCGCATTTTTAAATGATGTAAATTGAACAAAGGAAAAACAAAGCAGTAAAAGCCATTTTCTAGAAATCTAGAAAACTGAAAATAATTTGAAGTATTTTCCTTTGGAGGTTCCAAGATGTAAACAGCTGTTTCACACCATGCCAGATGAAGATTTGTTTCATTTATTTCTGAAATTGATCTGGTTTCCTTTCCGGCAGAAGTGATTTGACTTACAGTATATGAAAAGGGTCAAAAGGCATAAAAGGGATTTAATTTTCTAAAATGTTAACAGGGCTCTTAGACTGTCTGGGCTCAAGGTGATTCTTTAGCCTTGTTTAGTAAGATAGAAGAAAATACTTCTGAATGTACTCTTTTGGGCATATCGTTGCATTGGACTTTCAGTTGTTTGTTAATAGAAATGCCAATTCTTACCGTTTAATATTGTGGCAAGGCCTACTTCTATACCAAAGAAAGGTGTGTGTTACAAGAGTGAAAGGAGTCGTTTCTGTGAAAACAAATAAATAATTTGGATTCTCAGCTTCTTTCCACAAATAGAGATAGGAACTTCGGCAATCCAGATGCAGATCAAATGTGTCTATTTATTGACGTAAATTCAGCATATCACACTGGTGCAACGTTTGGGGGTCTCGCAGGATCCCTTTCCTCAGGCAGAACATGTCACTTGCATCCCATTTGAAGCAGCTTATCCAGAATCTATGTACTCTCGTTCCAGCTTTGCACTACAAAAGCAATCTACTTTGGATCCAGCAACTCTGTTCCATCTATTTGTAATTAGAGAAAGTCGCACTCAAGGGCATGACAATGACAACACAAAAGTCATAGCTTTACAAACATTAACATTAATAATAGGTGTATTAGGACTATGTTTTCCTCTTCAGCCTGTGAATATTGCAGACATTTAGGATGCTGGTCACACCAGTGCACTTTGATACCAGTAGTATACATTTTTAATACATGCAAACTGCAGTCATTGTTTTTTTCTAGCCAGTGGTTCTATTCATGTGTGTGATTATGCGCATTGCATAGTAATTCAGAAGCTTATGGGAAAAGGCACGAAATGCACAGAAATTTGAAATAATTGGCAGTTGCATGCACTTTTGAATGAATTAGGCATGAAAAATTTCCTAGTTGTGAACTTTTGACGTGAGGTGTCCTTGGATGAGCTAAAAATGCATTTCAGAGCATCTAAATGCGCACGATGAAAACAAAACACACATAAAATATGTGCATTACTAGGCAATTTCCAATAACCCAGAGAATTTTTAATAAAACGTGATCTATGTTTGCTGCCTGAAAACCGGCTTCTTTGGAAGCACATCGAGCAGGAGGGAGGCAGCAGCTGCCTGTACTCTCCCTGCCAGTAAATAGGGCTTTTGCAAATATCCATAACCTTTTCTCCAAATCACAGGAGCACAAACACCTTGCCTCTGTTTTGATCTTTGGAAATATTGTTAGGATAATGGAATAAACAGTAACCTTAATGCTGTACCGTTCTAAAGTTCAAGGAGTGTGGTAGGAGGATTTTGAACAGGAAAAATATAAATAGTATTTTTGGCTTTATATACTGTAACTGTATGATTTTGCATTGCTGCACATCTATATCTAGCTTATACACTGAGTGGCCAGATTATTATGACCACCCCATCAATACTTCGTTGGGCCACGAGATGACTTTGTTGGGCCGCCTTGTGACTCCATGAGATGCTGAAAGGTGATGCGAAGAATCTGACACTGCACTGTTGCCCTTCTGTTGTCTTGTACCAGTCTTGCCACTCTCCGTTCAGCCCTAACATTGACTAGTCGCTGATGGCCACAATTCGCACGTTCAGACCCAGATTTTCGGCTGACAGTCCAGTCTTTAAACACTTTAACAACAGCTGCTCTTGAACATTTAACAAATTCTGCTGTTTTGCTGATACTCGCTCCATGGCTTGAGCGCCAACAATCATCCCACATTCAAAGGCTGTTAAATCGTGTTGTTTACCCATATCTTCAGAAACAAATCACTTCTACTGTCGTGGTAAACAACCTGCTTCCTTATTTATGATGGTCTGGCCCTCTAGCAACTTCAGCGCCAAATTCTAGCTAATTATAGCTAATTTGCCTACAAATGTCAGGTGGTCATAATAAACTGGCCACTCAGTGTATTCTCTAATGTGACCCCCCTCCTGAACCATACTGCACACTTTTTAAAGTTTTACTTTCCAATGGTGCAGGTGGTGGAGAGTGGTGTTCCCGTTTCACTACTGCCAGGGCTACATCTATTTATGTATAGACGTATCCGTCAAATATTAGGGGCCTCCTGTCTTGCCATACTTGTAGCAGTGTGGGTCAGAGTGGACTTGGGGGGTATAAATACTACTTACAGTATAAGAAATATATTAGCCACTGAGACTCCTAAAGGAGAAGCTTGGGGACTTTACCATATGGTCAAATGGCCAATAATAGTTTGCTTTCCAGATGGGGATTGCAATTGAAAGTGAGACATTGTGATCCCTGTCCATTGGACCATGATTTTGTCATGCACCACATCGATAGCAAGTTATGGCTCTGCTGCTGATGTGAACTTTGTTGGAGGATAAATACTCTGCAAGATATCTGTTTGTATGTGATAAGAAGTGGAAGAACTACATACAGTATGGCAATATATTAGCTTTTGAGACCATCAGCCTCAATGAACAAACAGAAGTATGCAGCAACTCATAAATTCACCTTTACTGTTGCTAGACTAATGCAGGATAGACTCTTAATTGGTATTTCTAGATACTGTACTGATACTGAAATATCACTTTGCTACTTGCATATTGAATACATCTACACATGTTCTCAGGTGCAAAAATCTGTACATATTGTACTGTCTTTCAGTATAGTGTGGAGAGCGTGCTAGCTGGACTTTGTGCTGCTTACGGTTAAACACATTGCTAACCAAGAAATTAGGGAATGGGTGATTAGTTGTTCTGCTGCTTCATAAACTCCTGGCTACTAATAGCGAGAGATAGAGTAGTAGAAAGCCTAATGTACAACTCTCCTATCTCCTAAGAGCTCACTCTAGTGGTAGCTAAGAGTGGCATTTTAAGCAGAGTAGTATAATCCCTTCTAGTTTTTTTTTGCTCAGACTGCAGGGACAAAGAGCTAGAGGGTGTGCTTTAAAAGTGTATATATTATTTAAGTTTGTATCAAACTGCAACCCAGATCCAAGGGATGGCCTACAATAAATTATGTAAAATTATGGAAACTTTTCCTATAAAAGTTTTCCTACAACTATTGTACAGTATATGTCTTCAGGTATCACAGGACATTTATCAGAGCTAAAAAAAAAATCCCACACTTGTAATTTTACAAAATATTCCTCAGAGAGCCAGGTGGTTTGTAAAAATGCTTTGCACACACGCACAAATGCTCCCTAAGTTCTGCTAGTCTGCAGAAGATTCTTTGGAATATACATTTATAACCTGGTAGCATTCCTCCAGGAGTTTGCTTGCTGTATATCACAAGGACTCTTGTAGAAGGCAATGCATACAGTTAAAGGATGAATTGATGACAACTTTTTTTCTTGGTTAAGTTACAACTTGTTTTATTTCTTTTCCAGATTTGGATGATCCCATTGTGACTGTCCATCAAAGCATAGGAGAAGCAAAAGAACAATTTTATTATGAGCGGACAGTTTTCTTACGATGCATTGCGAACTCCAATCCCCCTGTCCGATACAGCTGGAAACGAGGTGAAGAGATTTTGCTTCAGGGGTCGGACAAAGGAGTGGAGATATATGAGCCTTTCTTCACCCAGGTAGGAAATAAGGTATCCATCATCCTTTTTCCATACTACTTTATAAAATAGTTTTTTTTTTTTACTTGTTTGTCCTTAAAAAAGGGGACCTTTCACATGTTTTGAGTGGAAGGGGTTATAAAAAGGCAAGGGTGTGAATCGGACATCTACAAATATTTATTGTCTGGCTTGGGAACAATATGTATAAACTGCATAATAATGCAACTAAGACAGCCTTCCAACAAACCATGAAGGTAAAACACACTTGTTGATTGGTTAATAACCTCACTGAAAGTTTGTGCGGAGATGACAAGCTGTTTGTGATCACATAGTTGCCTTTTTGGCAGAGCTCAACAGTCAAATTGTAAGTTCCAGTGCAGGTTATTGGATCATCCTTTTCACAAGACTATATCCAGAGTGGGTTAACAAATTGTTTTAAGGTGAAGTTCTTCATTAGATGCTGTCATTAATAAATGTTATACCATTGTGTTGCCTGGAGTGGTACAGCTCCCCTAAAATTGGTAAAGCGTACTGTAATATGTTGATGAAGGTGGTGAAGGGCTTTACCCATTCCTGTAACAGCTCTGTTGTGGCCCTCGTACTCAGAGGAAGTGCTGTGAGGTCATAACCCCCCTCCCCCATTGTCAACAGAATGTTATTATTTAAACAGAATATTGCTATGTAAAGGGAAAAAATTCCAAAAATGTAAAACAAAAATCTGACTGCCTGTTACATTTCCCCAGGCCCTAAAAGGTCAAGGCAGTGCAAACACCATCAAAATTGTTTAGTGTAGGACAAAGTGTATAAAGTGCAGCAGTCAAGAGTGCAGGGTTTATGGCTGTGTAAAATACAGAAAACCTTGCAGCTTAAAGTGGTCAGGAGTTAATGCCTGCTTTATGAAGCTGATCAGTGCTGTGTGTCCCCTTAAATGTTAGTGCTCAATGGTGAGTGTCCTATAACTGATGGTGGTCAGTGATATTTTTCACCCCCTAGGATTGGTGGTCAGTGTACCTTCTTTGTGGACAATATTGCTCCTTGCTGCTCTGGTCAGTGTACCCCCTTGCTGCTCAGTGCCTCTTTGTGTTTAGTGTGCTCCCCTTTTGTTGGTGGTCATTGAAAGCAGTGTTATTTTATGCTACCCATGCTTGGTTTCTGCAGCATCCTTTTTTAATGGATCTCCAGAAAATTGACTTTACCTACCTGCAATTTTTATTACAATGATGGTAAGTCTGACAATTTTACTGTCATCCTTACCATACATAGAGATTTTCCAGCTCATGGGACAACAATCTGAGCACCAGCCTATAGAGTGATTGTTACTGGAGTCAGTTAACTCTGCAGTTAAATATGTGGTAGCTTTCTTCAAGAGGTAGGAATTCTGATTCTAGAGTATTTAGAGATAAAGCTCAGTAAATGTTAAAGATGATTTAAATGAGCAAGAGAAAAAATGGTGGAGAAAATGTTTTACAAAAAGTAAACACTAAGCAACAGCAAATTAGGTGAGATTTAAAAATTAAAAAGTACTTAACAAAGTCCACCTGGTCTTTGGCCTCAGCAGAGTCCAATTCACTTCAGCATAAGTCTGATTATGATGGAGTCATTGGCCCTCAGAATAGCTCTCAGTATGTACACATAATCTTGTTAGCAAAACAAGATCTCCGGAGCTGCAGATGCAGCCATCTTTTCTGGTCCCTTTTTACAGAAACAGCATAACCAATCAAATGGTCTACTAGTTTTTCTAACTGTATCAATAGTTTCAGGTAACCATGTTTTACAGTCTCATAACCAACATATTATTACACGGAATTAAATCATAGTTTGATAGAGACTAAATATACATCAGATGCTTATATTGTGTAGGAGGGTTAATGTGCCCAGTTAGCCTTCAGTACTTTATGGCATAGGCATACCTGGTATCAAAAAGATTATTATTGTATGATACATTTGTGCAGCCATGTTTTCTAAAAATATCTCCAATCTTTACAGTGTGTCCAATATTATTCTTTTTAACCCCTTCGTGACTGACGACGTACAGTGTACGTCGCCAGCATCAGGGCTGTTTAAACAGACTCCCGGCGACTTTTGCCGCCGGGAGTCTGTTTAAACTTGTAGAGCCGACTGTCGGCTTTACAACAGAAGCGATCCTGGCGACTTACCTGTCGCCAGATCGCTTCTGCGTCCCGAAGAAGGGGCTCCCCCCCCCGCCGGACACCCCCGCCGTGCTTCCCGGGCTCCGTTGCCCCTCCTACGGGCCGGGACCGGCGATCTTTGTGTCCGCGGGGAGCTGGGTCGCTGGGTCGCGGGGAGCTGGGAACTTCCGTTCATCGATCCCCTCCCCGTTCTATGGGACCGGGAGCGATGCAGATTGCATCACTTCCGGTCCCTGGGCTGTCAGTTCTGGGCTCCTGCAGCCCAGGTCTAAGCTATTGAAGTGCGATCTGCACTTCAATAGCTCATTTCTAGTGTAAAGGTGACACTGAGGGTCTTTTGGACCCCCAGCATCACCTTAAAGAGGACCTGTCACCACCATCTGCTAGCAGTCAAAGTAAAGTTAAAAAAAAACAAACAGTTTTTAAAATTGGGCGTTGGGTGCGCCTACGCATGAAAACGACGAACGCGCTACACATGTTGGGTATCGCCGCGCACGCCGGAGTGAGAGCAATAATTCTAGGGCCAGTATTTTGGGGTATCTCTAAATTGATGACCTGTGGGGGCTTTTAAAGCGTCTTTTATTGACTTTTTGGGGTACTGCAGTTTTTCGCCGTTTCACGGTCGCACGCAATCTGTAAACTGGGCATGTTGGGTATCGTTTTACTCGTTGTAACCTCATCTTTTATATTTCATTTAAAAAATTGGTAATTTGTTGTGTTTTGGGGCATTTAATTAAATTTGTCACTAAATTTTGGGGTTTAATAAGGAGTTGCGCTAATATTGCGCAACATAAAAATTTTCAACTACCACCATTTTATTCTATAGGGTCTTGGCATTCAGAAAATATATAATGTTGGGGGGTTTTATGTCATTTTCAGGCCTAAAATGTGGAATATAACATGGGTGCAAAAAATGAAAAAAGGGCCTCAGTCATGAAGGGGTTAATTATTATTTGTAACATAATTACCAGGTTTCTAAAAGTCTTAGGTGCAGATGCTGGGATGTAGGCACCCCAGAACTACATCTCTCAACAGTCTTTACCTTGAACATAGTATGTGGACCCACTCTTTGGAAGGATCAAGGCACAAGAATTGTTTCGCTGGCAAAGAACTCAGTGTATGCATGTGCCATGGGAAAGAGAGGGGCTGGGAAAAGACCAAGTTCTGACATTTAGCAGGGAGGGCCGAAGGCACATGTTAGGATTTTGGTGCAGCAAAGGCACTATGTTGTCAGTCCACACAGAATGTTAGGATCTGGCTGGATTTCTGGATATAAACTGTAGATATTTTTCTGTGCAATCAGCATTTTAAGGGGCTACAACCTTGGGAACTGTTTTACAGATGTACTACATGTTTTTTTTTTTTTTTTTAATTGTGCTCTGAAATACTTGCTGCATTAACTATCTGTTTCTTTAGCAAAATATAGGCATTGTAGAGGAGTTAGAAGACAGAAAGAAAGAAGTGAGATAGCAGAAGAAAAAAGGAAGGGCAAGGAGAAAAAAAGGTTGGAGATGCTTTTGGGGAACTAGCTCTGTGTTTGATTCATTTATTACAGAAAGTTGAGTTAGTCTATATTTCAGGTGGAGAGGGCAAAAGAGTCAAACCTGGACCACTAGCATTTATTTACATGGTGTTTTTTTTTTGGATTCAGTGTTGAGAAAGTGCCTCATACCTAGAAGCATGTGTGTTTGCTTTTAATGTTTTTATAAAGACACTTTGTTTATACATATTTGGTTTTCTTTGGTTATTTTCACCCTTTAAATACATTTTGGTTATTCAAATTGATGTGTGAATAAGGTTGCCACCTTTTTGTTTTGGAAAAATAAGGGACAGAGGGTGGAATAGGGGGCAGGGCTAATAGTGGTGCATGCATTCACATCCAGAGTCCTCCCTTTCCTCAGTATCCACCTTTCACTTTATAAATACCCCCTTTACAGCAGAATCCCCCCCCCCTTTCAATGACATCAGAAGTGCCCCCTTTTGCATCAGCAGCCCCCTTTTATATCATAGCCCCCTCTCTCACATCAGAAACCTTCGCATCATAAGTCCCTTTCACCTCAGAAGTCCCCTCTTACATCAAGGTCCCACCTTTCTACATCTGGAACCCCCCCCCACCCCCCTCCTCGTAATCCACACATGCCACA